GGGAAGGCACCAGTTGAGGCGGCCACAGAGCACAACGATCGGCGCTTTGAGCTGGCAGCTCCAGAGCTTGTCGTAGAGCGCAGCGTCCGGGAGCACGTTGGGCGGCATGAGCTTGCGAAACATCACATACAGACCCGTGGTCCCCACGAGCTGCGTGCGCTCGTACGTTTCCGCGGGCGTCCCAAGCGCCGCCTCGATCGACTGGATGCGCGTGCTGAGGCAATGGAAGAATTCGTCGAGGAAAACGCGGTTGTTGCGCACGTCGATCGACTTGGTCTGCGCGGCGTCCTCGTCCTCATCTTCATCTTCGTCCTCGCTGTCTTCAAACGACAAGAGCGTCTCAAAGTCTTGCTCAATGCACGTCTGGAAGCACTTGGCTCCTACGTTGGTGTGAGTCAATTCAATAATTGTACATGAAACATATGAAAATATCGGAAAAATAGGAAAACAGAGGAAAATAGAGGAAATGGCGTACCCATGAAGGTTTGATCGAGGTTGACGAGGAGCTGCTCGAAAGACTTGACCTTCTCGAGCGTCACGTTGTAGCGCGCGGGGTCGGCGCGCACATACTGCATCATGCGCTTGTACTTGTCCCAGGACGTGACGATGTTGGGGTTGTCCAGTACAATCATATCGAGCGTCATGAGGATCTAAATCGAAAAAACGTATAGACGGGAGCAAGGCTTGACGTCCGTACCTCGAGGAGGTTGGCGAACGCGTCGTAGACAGACGTCAAATGCACGTGCTTGAACGTCGACTTCCAGAGCTTTTGGTAGCTCTGGTACAGAGACGCGAGCTGGTGCACGAGGTTGATCGCAATCAAGCTGCAGCGATCGACAAAGTTGGAGATATCCTAGCCATCGCCATGTGAGGAAGAGGAGGATGGCAATGGAGATGACGGACTTGGAAGAAGGGCAGCATGCGACCAATGTGCACTTCGTCCTCGCCGGGCTTGACGGCTGCGGTGTCGCCATGCTTGGCTTGCCCAAACATGATGAGCGCCGGGTAAAAGTTGTCTTCCACCGTGACCTTGAGCTCCGAGATCTCGTCGCAGAGCACGGCAAAGACCGTGAGCACCTGTCGCCATGATGCTACATACGGGGAACATGGGGAGCAAGGCGTGTACCTTGTTGAAGAGCTCGTTGTCGGTGCGGATGAGGTCTTGGACATCGACGCGCTCGGCTGGATGCAAGTGCATCTGGATCGGGTCGGCCTAGGCACGTCAACATGCGCATGAGGCTTTTGTGGAAGAGCGTTGCGATCGCATACCCAGTAGCCCCACACTTCTGACATGGCGGCCGACAAGGCGTCTTCAATCTCCTTGAGCTTGGACTAGCGACGGGCTATATGAGTGGTGGTGTTGCATCCTCGACATGCTGATACCGTGTGCTCGTTGACTATGTCGAGGGACTTTTGCAGCTGCTCGCGGATCGGCTGGTCGTGCACGTCAAAGTCGGCGAACGCCGAGACGAACTGGTAGTCCTCTTCGTCGATCGCGTCCAGCTCGGCTTTGGGGAGGTCCTTGTTGGTGGCCGCAGTACGCAGGCTCTTGGTGCTCACACGGCTCGACGTGCTGCGCACCGAGGCCTTCGAGTCGGAACGGTCGCGGTTGCTCATCATGGACGCGCGCGAGTCGAAGCGGTCGAGGCGCGTCGAGTCGGCCCACGAGACCCGCGAGTCGAAGCGCGGGCGGTCGTGCTGGCGGTGGCTGGCCTCGGAGGCCGCGCCGTCGCTATGGTCGTCGTCGTCGCCGCGGCGCGAGGATGCGGCCGAGGCCTGCCGGGCGGGGGCCGGCGTACTCGCGCCCTCGGCTGCTGCGTCTCCCTTCGCCTCTTTGGCCATCTCGGTCGTCGGTAACACTCGGAAGATTTTATGCTGACGAGGTCCCCGGATACGCAAGTTGTATTCGGACGATCGGTGATTGGCCAATATCTACATCTTTTCCGCCAATCGAAGAGAGGGCAAGATCGCGCGGAGTGCCAACGGCAAGTGTGTCGATGGATCTCTCAACCTTGCGTAACAATTGACTGTAGTCTACATTGTTTAACTATAAAAATAGGTTAAAATATGCTATAAGACAATATGGTAAACGGTGTATCACGCCGGCACTTGCGACTGACAACAACACGGGACGACGCTGGCCCAGACACACGTGTGGGACTCTGTCCTGTCCATCGCACAGGTCGATACGTGGTGAGACGCGGCAGGCTAGGTAGACAATATACGACGCACGCATGATTGTCTGTCCTAAGCTCGACGACGAGAGCATCGACTTTACAGCCTCATGAGCCTTGTCGACAGCCAGACCTACTGTAACCTCAGGCGGTTACCTAAACCTCGAATCACTCTAATAAGACTCAACCGCCTTCAATCCGCAATACGGAGTAGACGAGTAGTGAGGTCACGTAGACACTATGCTCTTGCGAATCCATCATACCCAGCTCGAAAATAACGAGTACTGTTCTGTCTCTACAGCCTTGTCAACATTATTTGCTCAATGGCATCGCACCCTATGATTACACTAGCTGCGTGATGCTCTGTGGCGTGGATGACATGACGGCGACGCACACCGCATCATCTAGCACAAGTCAGTCTTGTGACCTCTCAATGCTGAAATTGCTGAAGCGTTTTGGGGCACGACTGCCTAGTTGAGGCGACTTGACTTTAGGTAATTTCTGATTTCGATGGCGGACCCAGACCCTGCTCGAAACTTGTTGAAATTGTGGGCTGGTTTGAATAAATGGAATGCCTTGAACGACAGAGTTTCCCACGGACCGCCTCATATCGTGGCATCACGTATCCATTTAATGCTAGAGCTCTTCAGCATCAAATCAACCCAGCTGATGGCGCTTGCTTGATATATTGATTTTTTAAACAATAAACAAATGAGAGTACCGTACGCTACTAGACTTTTCGTGCTTAAGCGCGACACTTGCTGAGCATCGACGCAAGCATGAGCGACGTCGGACGATCTTCTTCGTGCAGCTGGAGACACTTCTTGGCCATCTCGGGCACCCATGACGGCACATTCGGACCGTTCAGCGTCGGCTGGAGACGGCCCTCGCGCACTTCTTGGAGGACGTAGTGCTGAGCCAAGGCCTTGCCTGTTTCTGGGTGACGCTTGTCGGCGTACGGCACTTGATGCGTCGCAAACTCAGACAAGATGATCCCGAACGAGTAGATGTCGGCCGGCGCGCCATAGTTGGTCGCAGAAAACACTTCTGGTGCCATCCACTGGTACGTGCCAATGCCGTGGGTCATGAGATCGTCTTCTTCGGCGACGCGCGACTCGCCAAAGTCGGTGAGCTTGGTGCCCTTGACCGAGTCCAAGAGGACGTTGCGGGACTTGAGGTCGCGGTGGATGATCGGCGGCTTGTACGTGTGGAGGTAGACGAGACCACGGACAATACTGAGAATGCAGTTGAGCTTTCGATCCCAGCTAAACTGCTCCGGCGACTGGTTCACGAGGTAGCTGCGAAGGTCGCCGAGGTCCATGTACTCGACGACGCACTCGATCTCGATCGGTCGGGTCCAGCTGGCGCCGACAAACTTGACTATGTAGTCGCTGTTCATCCTAGTACAAGTGGGGAACTTGTCATGCGCCTGCTTCAAAAAGAAGAAAGAGACGCACTGGGACATGAGGACGATTTCGTCAATGAACTTTTGAACCATGCGGGCCTCTTGGTTCTTCATGCGCTTGATGGCCACTTGCTTGCCGCCGTACGTGCCGAGCCAGACTTCGCCAAACGCACCGGACGCCAAGGGTTTGTTGGAGGTTACGTCCAGGTCTCGGAGCTCGAGCCGGTGGTGAAGGAGTGGCTTGACGTCCAAGACGATGTCAGAATCCGGGTTGATGATCGACCGGCGCGTGCCAGTGGTACCGGCGGTGGACCCACCGGTGTCGTTGGCGCCAAGGGCCTTGATGCTGACAAGGCGACCGTCCGTGGTCGCATCAACACTGTCACTGCCAGCGCTCTCGGAATGCTCGTAGACGGGGGCGAGGGGCGGGGGCAAGAGTTTCCGCCGCTTCAAAATGACAAGGGCGGCAATCGCGCCAAGAAGAGCCAGAACGCTGACGACGACGCCGATGATGAGGCCCACGTCTAAACTCCCAGAACTTGGTACAAGTTGGTGCTTTTGCCAAGGTCTTACTTGATGACGTGACAACGGGAGGACTCGTTGTCGTGGGGGCACCTGGCAGCACGCAGACGTTGACCATGTACTTGGTCGTCGACTTCCAGAGCCGCTGGATCGTGCCATTGAGGGCCGAGCAGTTGGCGGCATTTGTCAAGACGTCTTGGTTCACGAGAAAACCGCGGTAGAGGAGGTCGGTGTCGGCGTCGCCTGCATGCGGAAGCACGTCGAGTGCTGCAAATGTACTCGCATCGATCGTCATGTTGGTCAAGAGCGGGCAATCAGCAATGTCGCTAGACAAGACAATAAGTTCCACAACCTCGATCATTTCCTGTTGACGTACAAGTATTCGATTTTGGTCGAGAGCTGAACGCGCGCAATGGACTGGAGCTTCTTGTTGCCCGAGAGACGCCTAAGACGACCATAGCAGGCTAGCATTCGAGGTCGAGGTGGACTGTACAGGAACGTAATCGCTCGCCAGTCGCGGTCTGTGACGGACGGCAGCTGGTTCGAGTCGAGATTCCTGCGTTCAAATGAGCGCCATCGTACGAGGAAGCGTCCACGTACAGCCTCGTCAAGTGGGGCGGCAGGTAGTTGAAGTCGACGAGGTTGCTTCCCGCCATCGACCTAGACGTAAGGAGAGCAGGAGATATGCTTGACATCCTTGATAAGGCGTACAAGGAAGAGACGGACGCTGGCAGGTTCTTTGGAATGTTGTTGAAGCCGACGTCAAAAAACGTACTAGGGTACTCATCAGCACGCAACGACGCAATGGACAATGTTGTACATGTTTTGAAGCAACGGTGGCCATTGAATGTTGTTGGTGATCTTGGGGCTCGACGTGAAGAACTCTCTAAGTCACTCAGATTAAAATCGATGGCATCGTCGGGAATTCGTACAGCTGCAGGAGCGAGCGCCACTGAGTCGTTTGGACGACGTTGATATCAATGGCTGCGACGTCCTCAAACGTCCTATTCACAGGCGCGTGATCGAACCGCCATCGACTTGAGAGGAAGTACAGCGAAAGCAGCGTCGAGGGCAGCTGCATCTTGCGCAGCGTCAGCGGTGTCGACGAGTTGGAGATCAAGCTAGTGAGCGAAATAAATGTGATGGCCACGAAAATTACAGCGCGTATGACATACAGGCTCGGCTGTGTGTAGCCGCTGAGGTCGCCAAGGGCGTCGCATCGTACGTAGCTGCTCGAGTCGGAGGGAAACGACTTGAAGACGGTGCAGTTGGAAGTGACGCCGCAGACGCTCGTCTCAGTGCACAAGCCATCGGCGACTAGAATGGACCCGTCTTTGGCCAACTGGAGGTCGGCGTATTGGCAGGCGCCCAGCGCTCGCTTCATGACAGCGAGCAGCACAAGCCGTGGGAACCAGCCGCGCATTCCGGAAATGAGAGGATGGCAGCGATCACCTTACAACCCAACACACACCAGTGGGATCTGCTCGGCTCATGGCATCCAGACAGCAACGACACGGCGATGCAAGAACCATATTAGTGTCGGGAATGAGTCACAAGGTCAATCCATGGTGGGTGCCCAACGTGGTTGTGTCTTCTCGCAGTTTAGACCGATCTTCAAATGCGCTCGACCAGCGCGTTGTCGCGAGGCTTCAACGACGAGTTTCCTCTATCCCGATCTCCTCTCAAGTGCTCAGCGGGCCCGATAGCAGCGGTACGTATGCCGGTGTTTGGTCCGACTGACAATACCCGAAACTAGAGAAACGGAAGGAGACATCGTCGACACTTGAACGACAAGAGAAAAATTCATGCAATTCGTTCTCGCCCAGATCACTCTCGTGGTCAACGGCCCGAGCGAGCGGTGTCCAGTAGAATACCAGACGCTCTTGGCAAGCGAAAGGTTGCATTCCTCGCAAACGGCCGGGCAGGTTGGGGGGTAATGAATGTATTGGTGCCCCGCCTGCCCAATGGTGGGCGAGGTGGGTTAGCTAAATTGCTATGAGCTGCCAAGAGGAATGGCTTGAACGAGACCGCTCTGCGCCTTGGCTTGTTTTGCTGCTTGGGCAGCTCTTCTATTCTTCTGTTCTTCGCGACTGCTCGTCCCGTCGCGCGGAAAACCTCTTTCTCTTCTCGAAAATGGCCCTTGTCGTTGGCCGCTCAAGAGCAAACAGCATTTCGATGGTGCGTGCAGACACCCAATGCACGACGAGGAGAACTGATAGCACGGTAGCGTAATTGTATTCTGCACATCGCAGCTGAACCCACGATATCCCAAGGGAAAATGACAGAACCGGGTGTGTGTTGGTAAAAGCTGCGTCAAAACAGGAATTTGGAGAAAAAATAACCATTCGATAAAGTTCCTAGCAGGGTATTGGGGTTGTTTGGCAAGGTGGAAGGGTGGGTGGGGGTGATGCGAGGTGTTGAGGAAAGTACAAGGATTGTTGTACAGGTCTTGTTTGCGGGTAAGGAGGCGTAGGAAGAGAGGGGCATGTGAAGACGCTGAGGCGTGCCACCACCTCCCATCCTTGCCACCCAATAGTAAAACCAAATCTATGTATTTTTATGTAATTTACCCAGGTTTGGGTTGATTTGGGCCCACGTTTACCCAGTTTTGACATTTTCCAAACGCCACCTCTCGACGTGCACAGGATTACTTACAGATGCTGGTAGCTTCAAGCAATCCTGTGCAGAGTCCAGCGTCCGTCGATGGCATGCCAGGAACCCATGTACGAAGGGGCATCGGCTGCAGGTGCGTCGAGCGGCGAATTTCAATGCTGAAGCGACGCAGACAAGACCTTTCATCGCAACAAAAATTGATTGCCAAACGGTCGAGTGCAAGGATAATGCTTCGTGTGGACCCGCGGCCTCATACATCCGTACAGTAGTACTGCCCTTTTCGGGTCGGAATTCCCACCTCCCAGAGCATTGAATTGGGCTCTGACCACGCCGCATTTCCAAATTGCCCATGCGCTGGACATCGCTGGTGCTGATCCTCCTTGCACTCGTCGAGCGCGCGCTCGGTGGCTGCGCGTACGCAGACTTGAACTTGCCTGCAAATGCGTCCATTTTGGTCGCCGATGCTTCGTGCACTTCTGGGCCCGTCTGCGGCGTTGGACCCGATTGCATGGTCTACGACTCCTTCCAGTCCGACTGGAACAGCTACCTGCGGTTCAACGCGATTGGCGACCTCAGCGGCTACACGCAACCCAACCTGTACAATATGACGCCACCGGTTTGAATGCAAGCTAACGCGCTATGTAGCTCGGTCGCCAACGCGTCGTTTCTCACGCTCGCCAAGATCAAGGCACCACCGACGCTGACGAGCCTGTACGTTCCGGTATCGCATTATTCTTGCACCCATTTCACGGGATCACGGCGCAGGACGCTCACCAACATATCGAGAGTCCATCTCCGCGGCATCCAGGCAACGCAATGGAGCCCGCTCACGGATCTGTACGTATGTATTAACGCCAACGACATCTCAAGGCAACCCTAGTCTGTTCTACAATGCCAGCATCATGCTCACCAACAACATTCAATGGCCACCGTCGCTCCGTCTGGCGTACGTACATGACTAGATAGCCAATTGCTCCGGTATGCCATTTTCATGTGCTTGTTTCCGTAGCATGTTTCGAGACATCGATCTCAACAACATTCCCCAAGGCTTGCCGTCGACGGTCCAGGAGCTGTACGTCACCCGGCTTGTCTCCGAGATCTTATTCTGGGACTAGGGCGGTGCAAGGCAACAAGCTCGTGGACCTCACGTACCTTCCGGAGAACCTCACGTTTTTGTACGAGGCGAGCGGCATCCTAGCGTGAGCTGATAATTGTTTAGGAACCTCGCCGGTAATCTACTGCCATCGATCACCGACCGCGACTGGAGAGCGCTTACCTTTTTGTGGGCACCATTGAGGATGTAGATGACGGCTCACTCGGCCACTAGGCGTCTCTCGGGCAACGAGAAACTGCAGTCCATTACCCGAGTCCAGCTCTCGACCCAGCTCGAATATTTGTACGTCGACTTTAAAACGGTGCAAGGTGGACTAGAGTGTCTTGTGTAGCGACATGAGAGACTGTCCCCTCTTGACCAACATTACGATCGACGCGAATACGTTTGCGGCGCTCGACGCGCTTCCCAACGCCGGCAACGCCGACAAGGACGCCGTCTACCGAGGTTTTGCGGTCAACAAACACATCTCGACGGATGCCACCGCCTGCTCGGCCGTCAACGGCACGATCCAGCGGCTCTGGAAGTCCACAAGCAAGTACGTTGTCAATGTCTGCGTCCTGCCGGTGGCTCCATCGACAACGACTCCTCCAACGACAACGATTCCTCCCGTTGTCACGGTATCGAGTAAGCCCGAACCCATGCAACATCACCTTTTTACGCTTTCAGTAGACACGGGCCTCATCATCGGTATCGTCGTTGGCGGTCTCGTCGTTCTCGGTGCCATCGTCGTCTTTGTCATTTCAAAGCGCCGTAAGGTTATACAGCCGCCGCCCACACCTGCCTACTACCCCTACGAAGGCGGTGACAACTTCGACACGGTCAACGACGGCCGCACGCTCGGCACGAATGGCTCCAAGATTCTAAACCCCAACGGTACGTGGGGAGCTACGAGCGGTTACCGAACATAATTCAGCAACACGACGCTCGAAGCTGTCAGATCGCGATCTTCGCGCAAGCGTTTGGCGCTTCTGCACACTGGCGCTTGGCGACATGGAGCGCGAGGGAGCTTGCTTTAGTGCTGCTCAGAAGAAGCCGCGACCCAATTGGGCACGATGGACAGTGTAGTACATTGCTGTTCCTCAGTGGTCGGTGCCTAGATCGACTCCACGGGTTGCTGTCAGCCTTGCCACACGCATCACGTGTGCTACGGTTTCGCGATCCTCGAGATAAAAACACACAAGAAGCAGTACTTGGTGCTCGAGAAAGTCGTCACGATCTATAAGCTACAAAGGGTTGTGGTATCTAGAGACTCTACGCGGTCATCGGCGGCGACTTCAACGCCAAGCTCGGCCAGCGCGAAGCCAACGAGGCCTTCATGGGCTGGTTTTGTCGCGGCTACCGCAACGCGAACGGCGAAGCCCTCGCCGACCTCTGCCATGATCTCAAGGCGGTCAACACGATGTTTCCCAAGCGCGCCAAGAACCTCACGACGTGGACGCGCAACTGCAGCTCGTACACTGTGTTGACATTGACACCGTTAACAACGGCCGCACGCTCGGCACGAGTGGCACCAAGACGATTGGCACCAACGGCACGGGGGAGCTACGAGCGGCACCACTGGCTCGCGCCGAACGGTCATCAACCCCGACGTTGACGTCCTCTTGGACGTCAAGCCGCTTCTCCACCACCGGCTTGAGCTCTAGGAGCTTATTGTGACGGCCAACAAACCACTCGCTTCCGGTGCGTTTGGCGAAGTCTGGCTTGGCACGTACGGTGGCAAGCAAGTGGCCATCAAGCGCATGAAGAACCAAGAGGCCCGCATGGTTCAAAAGCTCATTGACGAAATCGTCCTCATGTCCCAGTACGTCTCTTTCTTCTTTTTGAAGCAGGCGCATGACACGTTCTCCACTTGTACTAGGATGAACAGCGACTACATTGTCAAGTTTGTCGGCGCCAGCTGGACCCGCCCGATCGAGATCGAGTGCGTCGTCGAGTACATGGACCTCGGCGACCTTCGCAGTTACCTCGTGAACCAGTCGCCGGAGCAGTTTAGCTGGGACCGAAAGCTCAACTGCATTCTCAGTATTGTCCGTGGTCTCGTCTACCTCCACACGTACAAGCCGCCGATCATCCACCGCGACCTCAAGTCCCGCAACGTCCTCTTGGACTCGGTCAAGGGCACCAAGCTCACCGACTTTGGCGAGTCGCGCGTCGCCGAAGAAGACGATCTCATGACCAACGGCATTGGCACGTACCAGTGGATGGCACCAGAAGTGTTTTCTGCGACCAACTATGGCGCGCCGGCCGACATCTACTCGTTCGGGATCATCTTGTCTGAGTTTGCGACGCACCAAGTGCCGTACGCTGACAAACGCCATCCGACGACGGGAAGAGCCTTGACCAAGCACGATGTCGTCCAAGAAGTGCGCGAGGGTCGTCTCCAGCCGACGCTGGACGGTCCGAACGTGCCGTGGTGGGTCCAGGACATTGCGAAACAGTGTCTCCAGCTGCACGTGGAAGATCGTCCGACGTCGCTCGAGCTTGCGTCGATGCTCAGCAAGTGCCGCGTCTGAGCGTCGACTCGATGACGATGTATAACTTGTATAACTCATTTGCGGCATCCTTGAAGTCTCTTGTAGATGCAATACTAGAGGAGTGCGCAATGGACAATGGACGGGTTAACAAAGCATCTGGACGATCAACACGCGCCCAGATGAGCGAGGTGGATCGACTTTTGGAGTTTGGAATCAAGTCTCTGGTTTCATTCGATATGCCTAGACAATGTCACAGGGAGCCCAAAAACCAAAGAACGGTGCTCGTAGCATGTCTCCCACGTGTGCTATGCGCTGTTCACGTTTGGAAAACCGATACTCAGTACACTGATTTTGAATCGGTTTCTTGTACTAGTATTGTACTACAAAGGTATATAATACATTGGTATTTACAAAGTCGACGGCTAAAAGAGCGTGACAATCAAGTAGACGTCGAGGCCAATCACAAAGAGCGTCAAGAAGCTCGTGAGGCAGACCATGAACGTCGAGTTGGTCCACTCGCCCATGATCGAGCGCTGGCTCGTAAAGACGACGACGGGGACGAGGCAAAAGGGGACGCAGAAGCTCCCAACGACGTTGCACACCATGAGCACCGACGTGGGCGAGAAGCCGCAAAAGAGAACCACCAAGCACGGCGTGACCGTGATCGCCCAGCGCAGCCACATGCTCAGATGAAAACTCGTGAAGCCACCCATGATGACTTGGCCGGCGAG